AGTTAAATAATATCTGCAAGGCCACACAATTCCTTTTATTAACTTTACTTCTGTAGTAAAAAGAAAAGTATGCAAACTTTGGTGATAACACAACCATCATCTGAGGTAAATAGAGTCCCAAGCAATTGAAATGCTTGCTTGTCAGCCTAGTGGAAACTGCTGCAATAAAAGTTAAGTCAGTAAAACTTATAGTTAGCATCTAGCAGGATTCCTGGCAATGAGCTCTTATGACAAATTAAACAAAGACACGACCTGCTTTTCCTAATTATCTAAAACTGATATTTCCATTAATTATAAGCTTAAACAGCTCAAGGTTATTTAATACATCAAATATGCTTTTTACCCTTTATATCAAAGATTTGTGATCTATAATTATTTTACTTTTCCAAGGAAAGATGAAACAAATTTGTACTTTTTTGGCCCCAGGATGGTTGTCACTATTGACTCACACATTTGAATCAAGACAGATGGATGTATCCGAAATAATATAATTATCATCATCATCATCATCATCATCATCATCATCATCATCATCATCCAGGTGTATCTGGAACGCATTCTCTTCATTTTGGTGAATATTTCTGATTTAACAATTAAATTGATTACTCTCAATTAGTCTTTTTAATTAATTTTAATTATTCTTCCACCTTTTAAATGAATGGTTCTAACTGCATATATTGGCCTAGATCTAATTGCTAGTCTAATGAGTATACCCACTGTATCAATGAGAACTTTGTGAATTTCATTGGCTCACTAAATCTCCTCTAGTTGGAAGAAGTAATTGGATTTTTGGCCATTGTGGATAACTCATTTTGGTAGGCAAAGATTCTTTGCAAAAGGTTGATTTTAAATAACAAAATAATATTTGTTCAAGAAAAAAAAGAGACAGAACCAGAACCAGAAACAGGCATATACGAAAATGAAGACAAAAATATCATGCTAAATCAAACATTATGGAAGTGTGCTTCAAGTGTAACTCAAGTTACGCCAATTTTCTATACTGCAGGGGGTTGTGATCCATTTAAAATAAGGCAGGACAGAAGGAAGGAAGGAGTATTAAACTCTTCCCCTTCTCACTTTCCTTCCTGAAACTGCCTCTTCTGTGCAGCTGTTTTTCCTCCTGTAGAGGTATTTCCAGCCTTGGAGCCAGGCCAGCAGAAAAACAGCACCCCTTTACCCCTGGGAGAAACTTTATGAGCATCTGTCAAAATACACACACACAGAGATCAAACAGAAAATTGGCAAAACTTCACAGTAACAAGCTCATCATGTATTGTACACTCGTCCCTCCACATCTTCAGCGTTGACTTTTGTGTCTTTGATTATTCACAAAATTTATTAATCTGTTCTCTCTAGGAATAGCTAGGTCCTCCAGTGCAAATCTATGGTCAGCTTTAACCAAAAGTCGCACTGAAGGACCTAGAGATTCCTAGAGAGAACACTCCACTAGGCATTTGCAGCTCCTCCAGCACAATTCTGTGGTCAATGTCTGGCACATGTTGACCACCGAGTTGCACTGGAGGACATAGAGATTCCTAGAGGGGTGTTCTCTCAGGTAAAACATAGTGTTTTTGTTATTTGCAATTTTTCTACATTCACAGGGGTTCCTGTGCCCCTAACCCTAGCAAATGTGGAGGGATGACTGCAATATATATCTTGCCAAATATCTGTGTTAAAAAACAGTGTAGTGGTTTTGAGTGTTGGATGACATTTCTGGAGACCAGGGTTCAATTCCCTGCTCAGACATGATACCCACCGGGTGATCCTGGGCAAGTCACATACTCTCAGTCTCAAGGGAAGGCAATGGCGAACCTCCTCTGAACAAACCTGGCCAAGAAAACACCATATTAGGCTCACCTTAGGGTCGCCATGAGTTGGAAATGACTTGAAGGCACACAATACACACAACACATACACTATTGTATCAATACCTGAAGGGGTTCTTACGCTTACAGCTTGATCCAATACAGATTTTAAAAGAAATAAGCCCCTCTGATGAGACTTATTCCAAAGTAAACATGCATTGGATTATGTCTTAGCCGGAGAGCAACAAATTTTTTCTTACTGTACTTTGTGAGCTGGATTCTTTACAGGTATCAACTGTTTCCCCCACAAGTCTTTCTTTTTTTCACTCGCGGCATAGACTTGCATTGTAAATTTATTATTGTTTTAATTATTGTTGTTATTTTATTGTTTTTACTGTTGGGTTTATTGTTTATTATTGTTCTTTTTATTACTGTTGTGGTTTTATTGCTATGTTTTCTTTTTTTCTTTTTTTAATTGATTGTACTACTGTACATTTTGTACATTTTATCTTTGTACTCCCGCCTCGATCCGTAGGGAGAGGTGGGAAATATAAATAAATTATTATTATTATTATTATTATTATTATTATTATTATTATTATTATTATTTTTTAATAGGATAAAAGCTCCTAGCTAATAGTTATCGTTCATTACTTCATCAGAGCTTGTAAGTAACTATTTGCGGATAACTGAAATGATTGAAATTAATTAATGATCATGTTATTTTGACTTAACAAAGGATGTCACACAGTTTGCAGTACCTTTTAAGTTGCTTTTATGTTAAATGGGTATGGCCTCATTAAATGGTCAAGCAGTTCATGCTGCTACTTACAGCATGGAGCAGGTCATGAAATGTATGAAAGGGACTGGAAGCTGCCCTGGGAGGACCGCACTTCGGCTACCCTGCTCCTCCTCAGAGCGCCTCGCTCACAGGAGCCTTTCTCTAGCTTTGCCTTTGAAGAGAAAGGAGAAAAGGACTGAGAGACCAGGCGCGTTTCCCCTGCTTCCACCCATTTGCAATCTTTGGGTTTCCCTCTTTGCAAGGGACCAGCAGCATCACCAGACTTTCCAGCCTCCTCCTGTGAGACCCTCAAGGCACTGAGAGGGGGAGAGGAGGAAAGATGCCTGCTGGGGTGCATTGTGGGGTGCTTTCCTGCTGCTTTTGTCTCACAAGCTATGGGTAAGGGGGCCAGGTGTGTGTTGTGTGTGTGTGTGTATGTGTGTGTGTGAGGGACTGAATGGGGTCAGCTTTTTGGCAGTCTGGGGCTTAGTGGCTCCCACACCAGGAGACCACAGGTCCACCTTTTCCAGGACACAGTCCTCCCTTTCAGCCTTCTGTCCAAAATCATTCTCCATTTTGAAGCACAGGTTTCTAGGGGCTCATTCCCACTAGTGGTAATAACGTGGGATAAGGAAATAATTCTCTTCCATAGTGGGAACTACGCATTGGCCTGAATCAAATCTGCGATCTGGTGTTAATGCGAAATGCAAGTGGGAATGAGCCCTATGAAGCAGACCACCTTCTTGGAACCACACTGCAATCGTGGAGATGCAGCGAAGTGCTAACAATGAATTTAGAACTGCCAGTGACATCAGCCTTCAACACTTGTGCCAACCCACAAGACAGAGATGTTGATGACTATGGGGTGGTCTCAGAAGCCATTCCTCCCTGCAGCCTCACAGTGACACACTTAGGACCTTATCCCACGCTGCTCTCAAAAGTGGCAAGAAAGCGATATGAGCATCATTGCAGTACTATAGCGCTAGTATAAATATGGCGCTAGTGCTATAATAGCGCTATGGATAAGCTAGCGCTATTGCAATGCCCGCTGAAACCGACATTCAAAAGAACCCGAATGATGCTGCATTCCGAGCGGTTTCTTGTTGGATTCTGAGCGACGTCGTGTAATCACCCGGAAAACTATAGCGCTATAGCGCCTGATTCTTAGCGGATTCTGAGCGACGTCGTGTGATCACCCGGAAAACTATAGCGCTATAGCGCCTGATTCTTAGCCGATTCTGAGCGACGTCGTGTGATCACCCGGGAATGTATAGCGCTATAGCGCCTGATTCTTAGTGGATTCTTGCTGCTTTTGGCCCCGTGGGATAAGGTCCTTAGGCTTCCTCCTCTTCCCAAGAATAAGAAAAGGGACAACAGATCAGGAATGGGGTAGGGCTATTTTTCAAGAACGAAATGATCTACTAACTCTCATATCTGTCCTTCTTGGGGAAGATCATGGGCAGGAAGAAGAAGTCCGTGCCAGACTTTGACATCCTCAAGCGACTTTCTCAGGCCCTGCTAACGGCTCAGCCTCAATTCTCCAGGGCTACTGAGGCAGAAAATCCTCACCATCCCTCCCTCTGCTCCCCCTTATTATTCCAGGCAGAAGTGCTTCCGCAGCTCAGTAAAGACTCAGCATCCACAGTGGGGGTTGGCTTGGCCAGGTGCCTGGCATGCATGAGCCAGGGGCTGCTTCTTAAACCTTGACACCCAGAAGCAAAATTATCCCCCTCCTGCTTACCTCTGCTCCCCTTCACAGCTAAGAAGAAATGACCACCTCCCCAATATGTGGTGGTTGGACCATACACTACAGATGCCACCACCCCTTGCATGTGCCTTTGCTCTATCTGCCTAAAAAAATCCCCCAACAGATGCTGCAAGCCCCCAAGGAGGCAGGGAAGCTGCCCAAGAGTCTGGAGTGGCTGGCAGGGGCTACTGTGCAAACAAAGGCAATGGTAAATCCAAGGACAAAACATAATGTCCTTCAAGCAAGCGAGAGTGCCTGGCAGTGACTTGCCCTGGGAGTGGGTGGGTGGGAAATGGCTCCCTCAAAGAATAACTGTACACACACACACACACACACACACACTCAGCCAGCATGAATGCAATAAAGGGAATTTGTGAATGAATCTGACCGTGAGGGGAAAAGACAGCTGCTTCAATAAGGTTCAACACCATCTCATTCTTTGATGAACATCCTTTCCTGGATTCATTGTATCTTCAGTCCGGTCCCCTGAGGAATCAGAGGTTGCCCCATGGTATCAAAGGCATTACATTCTGCCACTGTTGTTGGGTGCCTTCACGTTGTTTCAAACTTACAGTGACCCTAAGGCAAATCTATCACAGGGTTTCCCTTTGCCTTCCTCTGAGGTTGAGAAAATTTGACTTGCCCAGGATCACCCAGGCAGTATCCATGGCTGAGTGGGGATTCAAACCCTAGTCTCCAGAACTGTAGTCTGACACGGAAACCATTACACCATGCTGGCTCTTACACTCTGCCAGACAACTTTTAAATCACCACCACCACCCTGCCTGCACTGGGTCATCCACAGGGTTGTAGCTACAGATGAGACAAGAATTCTCTTCCTTCTATGAAATCTTCTTCCCCTTCCCAAATTGCTAGCATTAAAAATCCAGTTGAACATTTTGAAATACAGTTTAAGCATCCAAAGAAAAGGGGCAGGTGAAACTACCAAGGGAATGTTAACACAGCGAATATAAGACTGCTAAGTGCAAACAATCTTAAGTGTTGTAGTCCCTGTAATATTAGAAATTTGGGGGAAAATTTGAAGGAAATTTGAAGGAAATTGTCAGAATTCTTTCTTGGGGGGCATTTTGCCACCCAGGTAGCTACATGGTCCTGTCTCACTGTGGTGATACTGGAGCGGCAGGAGCTCAAATCTTGTCCATCTGGACCAGGAAGGAGTAGAAGCTGTTTCTCTCAGGTTCTGCTCCCTTCTCCCCTTCCTGGTATTTGCAGGCTATACTAACATGGTTCCAGTTGCAGAGAAAGATAAAACCAAAACAAACCCAGGTTCCAAGTCATCTAAAAAATGTGCCTGCCAGCACCCAAAATTGTTAACACCCCCAACCTGTATAGAGCTCCAAAAATTTTGACATTTCCCTGTCACCTCTCACTTGAAAGCGCCTCCCCCAGAAGTGTTGTATCAGGTTTCTGTATGGATCAATTCCCAAATCTCAGCAAGAACCAAAACAACTTGCTCCAAAACCTGGCTCTGTAGCTAATGCCCAGAAGTAGACCAACCCTGAATAGACAACTGTTTCCCACTTACTCCTGGCCCTCACAATTTTCTTCTTATCTCTTGAGTACTCTGCAAAAATGGTGAAAGGATAGTGACAGAATATGCTCTCAAGATACATACAAGTGATGTTTGCCCTGTGAAACCATACTGTGCCTCAGAAAGCATTTTTAGAGCAGCAGTTCACACCAGTTTTCCAATCCCTGGGTTAAACCAGTTCTCTTTTCCTATCTAACCAGCCTTTTTGTCAGTTATGTGTGAGTTGTTTGCCTTCAAGTTGTTTCCCACTTCTGGCGACCCTAAGGAAAACCTATCATAGGGTTTTCCTGGCAAGTTTCTTTAGAGGGGGTTTGTCATTGCCTTCTTCTGGGGCCCAGAGACTGTAACTTGCCCAACGTCACCCAATAGGTTTCATAGCCAAACAAGGATTCCAACCCTGCTCTCCAGACTCATGGTCCAATACTTAAACCACTACACCACACTGGCTTGTACTGCTCAATATATGGAAGAGGCCTGAAAATTAACACAACATGTGGCCTTCACCCTATAGGGACCAGAAGACAGACAGACAGACAGACAGACAGACAGACAGACAGACAGACAGACAGACACACACACACCCTTAGACAGCAATCAACTAGATCAGTTTTAGCAACAGCATTTGTCTTGCAAGGAGAGGGAATTATGATTTGGGCACAACAACAACATGGATCAGAGATATATAATTCATGTTTTAGCAAATTTTGGTTCTGAAAATGGGAAAACACCCTACTCCAACTCCCCTGCTGATATGCTGGAAAGTAACTGTTGCAGATTGGGAGCAGGAACCCAATGTAATCTAAACAATATCCTTTAAATTTTCTTTTCCAGGCATCTGTTACACTTTTCTCATTTCACTACCCATCATAAGCTAGCTGTCAGTTTATTAAAACTGGACATACTGCCCATCAGACAGAGCACTATGATGAACTGCACAGCTCTTAGGGATTAGTTCTTCATGTGGCTGGAGGTTTGTTTCATCAAATCAATGGTGGAGAGAAATGTAGGAGACAGTAATAATATGTAAGGGTAAATCATCAAACATCTTCCCATGGATGTTGGTTGTTATAGCAGTGTTTTTAAATAAGATAGATATGAATAGGTACAACAAGACAAAACTGACACCGTTTAAGAAATAATAAACTGGAGGGGGGAAAAGGGAGGCACTGATGGTTTCCTAATTCATCTTATGAATCCTGTTGGACTCTGGCTTCAAAGCAGGGCATTACAGCAGTCTTCATATAGTAAAAACAAGCCAGTAGTATATTGGCACTTCAGGATGGCTAATGTCAGGTGCTAATATCAAGGAAACGGAAGCAGAACGTCTTTATGCTTGTTTGGGAGAGCAGTGGAGGTGACTCAGAGACTTTAGTAAATTAGTAAATCTTCGTATAAATAACAATTTAGCAATGGCCCAGTAGTTCCCCCTTGTGGGTGTTCCCCAGTCCTCCAGGTGTCCTACCTTCCTCCTCCTCACTTCTTTTTGTTTCCAAGACTGGGTTTTTGGAAGTGATAAGTAAACTGTTCTACACAGCAAAGTAACAGACTGCGTTGAGCAGATGTCAGAAAGAAAGAGAGAGAGAGAAAGAAAGTGAAAGAAAGAGAAAGAAAGAGAAAGAGAGCTTCTATTGCACCACAGACACTTGCAAACCTGGTTTTTGCAACGTTGGTAAATTCCACAAATACTCAAATATTGGGTAGTGGACATGATCTGAATGACAGTGCTGACATAAGTGATCGCTCTTATGGCTCTCAGCCCAGTTTCCTCTATCTTCCACATGGGCTGAGAAACTGTAACTTTCCACAATGTCAGAGGTATGCAGGCAAAGCCATTTTGGGTGAAAGGTAAACTAAATAAAGTTGGCACCTTTGAGTATACAGAAAGTACCTGGGCATTATACTCATAATTATCCTAAATATCAGGCCTCTGGGGAATCTTGATGACTACTAGACAAAAAGAACATCCTTACACTAAAAAAAGAAAAGTAGTACAGGACAGAAATGCTCAGCCAAGGCCAAGTTGAAGTTTCTTTGTGCACTCCAGCAAAGCCTTCTGGGCCTTTATGACATCCAGAACATATTTCTTTTCCCATGTAGCTGCCTGTAGATATATCTGTAGGTATATAGTTTTCCAGACCAGAGAATCAGCCCAAGTAGCCAAATATCCTTGAGACTAATTTCATGACACATGCTGGCATGCAACAAGATGGGAAAACTGGAGATTAATCTTGGCACAGAAAAAAAGATCCAATTTGAAAGTATTTCTCATTCACAACTCCTATATTATTTTGCTCTCCACAATCTACTTAGTGATGGTGAACCTTTTAGAGACCGAGTGCCCAAACTGCAACTCAAAGCCCATTTATTTATCGCAAAGTGCCACATCCCTTTGGCTTTCTAGTAACAAACTCTGGTGAACTCTGTGCTGGGGCGACAGCATGTGTGCCCACAGAGAGGGCTCTAAGTGCCCCCTCTGGCACGCGTGCCATAGGTTCACCACCACTGATCTATATTTAAATATCAGGAAAGGGTCTTCTGAAAAGTGTAGTATTTAGAGAGATCTGGCAGTATTTTCATAATAGAGAATTCTTAAAAGGACCAGGGAGGATTTACTTCATGAAGGAAATGCCAGCAGAAGAACCAAAAGTGAGCCAGTGCTCATCTTGAAGAAGGCGTTACCCAGGAAGATGAACAGGGGGTGGGTAAACAGGACACACTGAGAAGGGGAGGGTGACCAACAGGTTGTTATGTACCTCCAACCACTCCTTTGTGTGTCTCTTCCTGGAAAACATTTGTGGTTCTTGGATCAGGACAGCCTGTGCCAGGGTCTCTTTGTTTGTTTATTAAAGCATAGACATTAGCAAGCAGGGCAAGAGGAGGCCTTAGTAAGGAATGTACCTCAGAATAATGATCATGATGATGATCAAATCCCCAAAGGAAAGGCTCTAGGAAGGAGGTATTCCATTCATTTGCAGCCTCAAGAAGCTGCTGACCCAATATGTTATTCCTATATTGGGAGAGGCGATTAGTGGGTGATGGCTTTAGGCTGCTATTTCAATGATGTCTAGGCAGCTCAGCGAGAGGATTAGTATCTTTCCTTCAGCCAGAAAGCTCCAGGTGGCTGCTCCAGTAACCTGTAAGGCTCATTCACACTATGATTTAACCCAGTTTGCAAACCAGGTTAAAAGTGCCTCATTTACACTCAAACTGTTTTCACCCCAAGTGTATCCGGGGTGAATTGGGGCAAACTGGCAAAAGCCCTCTTGACCCAGGTCATTTTGGAAAAGGTTCTTTTAGCGTGTCTTTTCAAAATGCCGATCACATTTGGGCACTGGTACGAAGGGGCAATGGGCAGAGGTTTGGCAGAAGGGTGGAAATTACCCACCCCAAATGTCTTTTCAAACCTCCCCCTTTTTCCCCCTCAGCGCTGGTGTCAGTTCCGTGGATCTCTTTGTCAAAGAGATGCCCTGGGGGGAGGGATTTTTTTCCACAGGTGTGGGAAGTCATCGGTGCAGTGCAGGGGAAACTGCCCTGGCATGCATTAATCCTTGGTTGTAATTTTCCCCCATGGTATGCATGGATCCCACAGATTAATGCATGCCAGAGCAGTTCCCCCTTCCCTACTGTGCCGGACGTCCCACAACTGTGAACCCACTGTCCTAAGATCCTGTGTAGGAGTGAGGGTCTATCAAAGTTTTTTTTTTTAAAGATGCTGCACCATGCCCCCCCGACCCCTCTCCCCTCCTCCCGCAACTTTTGCCCCAAGGGAAAAAGGGCACCAAATCACCAGCAGAAGTGGAAAACACCTACAGGCTGATTTAAAGGGACCACTTTGACAGCGCAGGAAATTTAAAATCAAATAGATCCACAGAACTGCCACTAGTGCTGAGAGGGGGGAAAAGGGGCAGTTTGAAAAGACCTTTGGGGTGGATAAGTCCCACCCCTCTGCCAACCCTCTGACCCTTGCCCCTCCCTCCCAGTACTGGCTCCAATCGCCATTCAAATGTGAACTTTAATGGGAACACAGACAGATTTGATTGTGGCAAACATAGTATAAACATTGCTTTCATTTCAAATCGCTTTAGAAAAGATCCAGTTAAAAAAATGATTTATCCCTAAGTGTGAATGAGCCCAGAGACACCACACTTTTTGCATGGGAACAGTCAAATGCTTTTGCATCAGGTAAT